TTATGATAAATTGAAAAGCGCAGAAATTCAGAGGTTGCACGTATTATACGAAAATGTAGAAAATATTCAAAGTTGAGTACTGATTATAATTTTTGGTAGGCGAAATAAATTATCATAGCACGCGTAAGTTTCATTTTTTCAATTCTCATAGAAATACGAAACAGCCTAACGATAATTATAACCATATCTTCGATATTTTATATATTTTTGTGTATTATATGAGCTTGATCAAAAAGTTGCTTTTCTGAAAAATCAAAAACCTTCTAATTTCCCGGTCTAGAAAATGTCAGTTGAAGAAACGATCGTTCCTATGTCGTTGATTACTTAAATTTTGATTAAAATTTGATTGTCTACTAAATAAGTCGTATTTCTACGACTTCGGATTTTCTGATCGTTTGAAACCGAACAACAAAGAATATAAGTCGTTGCTCGTTAGAAACTTTTCGACGAAAAAGCAATACAATTTTTCAACCACCATGATCAACAGATATGGCAGCGTTCCACTTCTTTTCAGTTGCAAGAACGAAGAAAACTATGAAAGGACAACGATTTCACAGCATCGACGGCATAAAACAAAAGAACTAAGAGGCGTGTAACAAAGCGAATTTTAAAAATGTTTTCAGGGATGGAGAAAACGTTGGAAAAAGTGCATTATTGTTAATGGACATTGCTTTGAAACTGGACAATATTAATATCGAGGAATAAATATATATTATCCTAAAAAACAATTAAAAATCGTTCGATCTTCTTTCAAACCTTTAAACTCGTTTAAATGTTTAATTATAAAAGAGAAGAATTTGGAATCTACGAATTAAAGTTCTCTATTTACTCACTGGACGATGCAGAAAATTCCGCAATCATCGACTAACGAAAAACAGCCGGACTTTGGCGATAAATAACCCAAGCCCGGGTTCGTGGATCGCGATACCATCGAACAGTGTGCATCGACAGTGTGCAACGATACGGAAGGATTCATGACACTCTCTCCACTCTGTTTTGCCTCCATAAACTCTTTCGAGGCACGATACAGTGCATCACGTTGGTCCGATAAGGCACAACTACTACCTCTGACCATCGAATTCAGACTACACGAAGAAATTTCACTTGACTAACTGCTACGCTTGGACATGAATGACAAACCATCTTTGGTAGCTCAAATTATTGCAAAAATAAGACAAACGCAAGAGAAAAATCAAGAATAACGAAACTGCCTTGGAAGATTTACTTTCGAGAAAATCGAGCTTGAGAGCTTTTTAACTTTTGTTTAATTTATCCGTTCGCGGGGAGAAGTCCCTTTGGTATTTTGCAATGTAAAAAGAGGCACACATATTGTAAGAATAAAAAAATTAGAGGAAAAATAAACGTAAAATTTAAACGCATGTATCTATAGCAAGTGTATCGAAGAATGTTTGAACGAATCAAGGGGCTAGTCAAATGGATCAATCCTGGAATATGAACAGCTATGCGATTTACATAATTAAAACACATGTATGCTGCACGGTATTGTTCAGAATGAAGCAAATTGAAATTCCTTGGGCTTCTGTAAAGAACGTTTATGGAAAGTAGCTGAATAATATCGAGATCAGATATAAGATTTTTGAATACGTTACAAGCAAAAATGACATCGAACATGATCCTTATACCTTTCAACGACTGAAGATTCAAATCACTGAGAACCGTATCACAAACGCGAGAAAAGGGAAGCACAGGGCAGTCAGGATGTTTCGCAACGAGTCTGCGGAGTTTACGTTGAATAGTCTCAATTTTGTAACTGCGCGATTCGATTTGTCGAGTATACGTGCATTTGACTAATTGTCGATTAGACAGGAGCGAGTAACAGGCAGAAGATTATCCCAACTGTGAAAATAAATCGAAAATTACGGAATAACATTTTTGTCGTTTCAACTCTCGTTTTAGGAATATTCGCCCGCGTCGTTGTACATATCAAATCAAAATATATTCTATTCATACTTTCTCATTAAAAACTTGAAGTTTCTCTTCTATCCAATAAAACTGAATATCAGAAGCTGTTAATCTGCAACGTGTGTCTTCAAACGTTCATTTAATTTCCTTTCTGTCGGAAATTCTTTCCGCTCGAATTACAATAATTCGCCGATTATTTTAATCGCGCTATCCGACACGCAAAACGAACAGATTAAAATACTCCGTTAACGTCTAATAGAACTGTGAAAGGTGAAATAATTACTTACTTTCCTCGAACGGAACACGGAAAGGTCTTAAGCAAAGGAGACCTATAGGTATAAATGCTAGCTAATTAGAATTCCGTTTTTCTATTTAAACTTAGAAACGATAATTCAAGTTGATAAGACGGCGAGGCAGAGTCTTTAAACGACTGTTTCGCCCGTCACGCAATTCGAAAGGCACGCTAAAACCGCGCAGAAACAGGAGAAAAAGGAAACAGCCTGGCCATTATTGCATCGTGACGTGAAAGTCGATACGAAAGCTGCATTTGAATTTCCGGCGAAAGATGAATTATAACGGCAACGATAAGGGGTTTTGTACGAGCTATGAAACATAAGGGAAAAACGCAAGTACCATAACCGCTTACATTTCCAGAGATAAGCGACGCTGCCTCGATGTTCGTCCCATCGCGAAACATCTGCCATTTTTATTCTTCCTTATACGACGACTATTTTAGTATTTTTCTCCAACTCTCAACTCTTTTATTTCTTTATATCTCGTCCCATTTTTTCCTCTGTAAGCAAGAGGAGATACGAGCCATTTATTCGAATCAAATATCTTTTTAATTGCCGATATATTTAACGATGATACCTATTTAATCTGCCATGAGCAAAATCAGTCGTTTACGTTTACATTCGTTTCCTTTATTACTCCAATCTTTGACAAAAGATCTGAGAAGATTTTAGGATATTTGCCGAAATCTGTACTACGTTATACAATCAGTTTGTAAGCCAAATGTTTAAAAGGCTTTTCTTGCATTGCGAATGAAATATCGCTCGAGATACGAACGATCCTAGTTGCCTATGCGAATATTAATTTTTCATAAGAGAAGCACATTTCTTCCGATGCTTTTTCTTTTTTTTCTTATAAAAGATATAGCGCATCAAAATTTAAAATCAGTCTTAGTTAGCGGAAATATAAAATTTCCAAACATTGCAATCTCTCGTTTCTTCATTTTTGCCGTTTCCAAAGACTCGTTTCATTTGTTGTATAATTTTCGACGAAATTTGCATTTGTTTTAAAAGCTCGCGCAACCGTGTCGGATTATCGCCATAGCTTTTTTTGTTCGAAACTGAAAATTCCGATTACGCGGCAGCCTCGTGCTTCCGTTTCGTAATTAGCCGTCCTCCGGCGTATGAGTCGCGTTATCGTTATGGCGCTCTACGCTGAAATAGTCGGTGTTTCGCGACGACTGGTTTCAGGTAAATCTGCTAGTAAAGGGTTCGTTAGTTAGCGGCCCTTTCCCTATTGAAATAAAAATTACGTGCCGTTTTCCATCCTTCGCCAATGGTTAGGTGCAATGCGCTTCGAGCGAAATAATTTTATATCAAATTCATGCGCCCGCGACGTAAGAAGAATATCGTAGCAAGAAGAAGTGGCATGCACGTTGGGAATTCTACTGTTGGGATAAAAATTGTGTGGCATAAAAATTCGCCGTGATTTCATTTCGATTTTACATTGTAGTAAAAAAACGTCACAGACATTTGGCGAGGGTCGAAAGTGGATATACGTGTCGAAGACATGGAATTTATTCGGAAACCCTTTCACGTGTGTCGCATAAATTGAAAATTCATTGAAAAGATGTGAAGTAGGAGAATACAGGTTAACGGTAACGAAACGCAGCTAAATCTGTAGATAAATTAATATTATACGAGCCTCATTTTTCTATGTCACTGAAGGTGGCATTTATTTTATTTCATCGAAATTGTGTCACTTACAATTAATGTTGTTAAAACGTGATAAAGTATAAGAAATTGTACTGTGTAGTAGTAGCGAAATGGCGACAGGAGAACATATTCTGACCAAGTGTCCTCACAAATAGGCAATGCAGGTCAGCTTCCTTAAAAAAAATGTGGACGTTGCAGGCATCCTTTCCCTTCGAGAAGAAAAGCTAACAAAAGATATATACATATGCATAAAATCGTGCACGAGATTAAAATGCCTCTACTTAGAAGGCTGAATAGGAAAATAAGTTGGGCATTATAATAGGAGCAAATTGGAGAAAATTGATCTATCGAATTAGTTAACAGCAAGGGACCACACAGCCTTAACGAAACAGTTAATCCACTGTATAAACTTAAAACACCATTTATTTTATATTCATTTACTACGTACGCTTATATACGTATGTATATGTTACATTATATATGTATATATAACAAGATTGCACTGGGCATAAGCCTTATACGATAAATAAATATTACTGCTATATACGACACGTAACAAGGTCCAACACATTCAATCACAAGATGTCTGGAAAGTATAATTATTGCAATATGAATTTGATTAGGGCGAGATAAATCGCGGCGGACAATAATATTAAAAATTCTAAATTGTATAATTTTCTACAATAATTTACCTCGTCCTAACCGAATTCATACATGTAAATTCTTTTTTCCTCTACAAATCTTGCTACGTCTCTCAAAAATAAAATGCCCATCGTCCTGTCGGTTGCATCTCTACCAATTTTAATATAGCTTCAACAGAATCCGTCCCTGAGGACGTAATCTCTCGAACGTGATTCGCCCGGGGAACATATTAAACGAAGAGCATGTGCCCGACAGGGACAAAGAGAGAGAAGGAGAGAGAGATTCGAAAAAGTAAAAAAAAAAAAAAAAAGAAAATGATTCTGAAAAAGAAAAAAGGAGAAACTGAGAGTAAACGACAAGAACGTCGCGATAAGACCCGGGAGCGTTTATTTAACCCTTAAAAGCTTGCCGGCATCCAATTTCCCCGGTCAAGTTTCCCCGACAGTCTCGGCTAATAAACATTCTCCGTTGCTCTTCTTTCTGTTGCAGCTCTATCGACACACGTACTTGGCTCACTACAGGATCGTGAATCTGCAGACCTTGTAAGTAAACGAGTGGCAAGGCCGCGGGCCATTTCACCTAATCGTATCTCAAACTTATTCCACCTGACACAGGGGTCACAGAACTTCAGATTTGCATTTTAATCTTCGCGCCACCGCGAAGCGGCGCGATCACTCGAAAGGGCCTGCCGGCGTGCAAATTACGACCGCGAGAATTTCATCCACAGCGACCTAACCCGCGGTTTTCGTTTTAATCGCGAAACGCGACGCGAAGCTTCTCCCCAATCCTTTTCCCTAGTTGACATATTTGTGGTTTCTCGGGTTTCACAACCCGGCTGTTTTTATTAGCACGTTGCGGCTTGTTCCGCGGTTTACTTCTTCGGGACAGACGTGAGAACGATATTTTGTTGAAGAAGCAAAGATATGCCGGAGAAAAGTATTAGTAATTAGAAGAACAGCCATAGTTTGCACAAATTGTACGCCTTCCATTGTCTTTATTCTTTAAACGTTTTATTACATATCTGTCATTTTACTCGTATTATGCGCCAACTGCTAAAGCAAAATTTGTGGTCGAAGATTTTCGCCAGATGTAACGAGTAGGTGTTCTAATATCGTGTAATCTCGTCATCGTGGAATTTTTCACCATCGCCGTTTAAAATTTAAAACTCTCGCTTTTCTCGAACTCGCCAGCAGTAGGAGTTTACTCGGCAGATCTCTGGACGTTAATTTTCCATTTAACAGTGCTTATATTACGATTAGAGCCAGCGCCGCTTACCTGGAATTCGTTTCCACCCACTTTGCCACTGGCTTAATCGTACTCGCTGGTGCGCCACGAATTTCTCTTGCAGTCACTGCCCCGAAGTCTTTATTGCTATCCTTCGCGGCTTTTCAACTTCGTACGTACGACGAGATGATGTTGTAGCCTGAGAGAATAGTTTCGAGCAGATGATAATTACGTGAAATTTCTTCGTTTCTACGTATCGAGCTATACATGCCCACATATATGTTTCTAATAAATATCTTGTAATTTCTATATACAGGGTGGTTGGTAACTGGTGGTACAAGCGGGAAGGGGGTGATTCTACGCGAAAAAAGAAGTCGAAAATATAGAATAAAAGTTTTTCGTTCGAGGCTTTGTTTTCGAGAAAATCGACTTTGAATTTTCGCTCGGTACGCGTGCACTTTATCACGTCTCGTTATAACGGATCTCACTGTAGTCTCGATGGAAAAATTAAGAAAAAAAATTTTTTTATTCTATATTTTCGACTTCTTTTTTCGCGTAGAATCACCCCCTTCCCGCTTGTACCACCAGTTACCAACCACCCTTCAGTTACCAACCACCCTGCATAAGGTCAAGTTAGTTTCAAGCTTTGCCTCGAGTCTCGTCATAGCGCTAATTAAATCTCACTATGTTCGGCACAACGTACTTACCATGTTCGTGAAACACTTTCGCCAACCTGTATCATATGTATCGCATGCATTTCCTTAACAAGTTTCAAAGAATCTACGCGATATATCCTGTCACAAATATTATTTAACGTAATTGCACAACACGTTATTGCACATGTTACCTCACGTGACACGTGTAACTCCCCTGCCAACATCCATAGGAGATAAATTTTCGTCACGAACTGTGACCGTGTTAAGCCTCGCGCGTATCGACTTCCTCGATTAGAATGAGAAACTTTCGAGGAAAGCTCGCTAATTACAGCCGAATATCGATCGGTATTTTCATCTTAAGACCCCTTAAGGCTAAAGTAGTAGATTTACGTTGGGTAGAGTGGGAGTGAAAACCGATTCCCGACGGATTATCCGCTTGGTAAACGACGTTAGATCGGAAGCTGGCGAAAAGCCGCGGAAGCCTTCCATAAAGTTTCGAATGGAGCATGAAAGTTCTATAGAAACGTAACAACCAATATTGTTCGAAAGGTTAGAGGGTTTTTTCGTTGACGGGAGCAAGGGTCGAGAACGGTTTCAGAAATGGCGGGAACTTTTCGCTGTTCACGCCGGCGTATTTCGAAAGTTCGGTCCTTCAAAGTTCGGAGTTATAGCCGCGGCCGTATTTCAAACCAGGAAGCTCGTCCATCGCGTTTCGTTTGAGAAACATTTGGAACATTTATCGTCTACGTTTATTCTCCGACCCATTAACACGCGAGCCACCACGCGAATTTTATATATTTTTGCCTAGCAGCCGCGATAGATTGAAATATACCGCGACATAAAATTGTACTTTTGCGATATATGATATCGTATTCGCACATTTCTTTCTAACCATGTTATATAGATCGTTCGTATTGTTCAGAAATTTATCGTATTTTAAGTATTTTAAGAAATATGGTAATCAATGACTGACTACGTGGCGCTGAAAATTGCGTTAACGCAACGTTCCATTGCAAAACCACGCGAAGGAAGCTTGGTAGGTTCAAATGACTTGTATCAAAGATTATCATCTTTGTTAATTTTCTAATTTAGTAGACCATTGAAACTATAATCTTTTTATCTAATCACAAAGTAATTTCATTTTCTAACAAGACAATGGTTTTGAATGTTACAATGGTTTCGGTTAAGATCGATATTCGGAACGACGCGTGTAGCTTGGCTTAAACGCAACGCAGATAATTTTCTCTCCCTTTAATCCGTTACCTCAGGTATAAATATGGACGCTAGCTAAATCTGCAAGTGGAGTGCTACTACAATTATTCTTACGAGCGAGCGCAGGTATTACGTTGGATGCAGCTAGCAGTTAAATATTGATGAGGGGAGCTATAGTTCTATGGTTGATATAACTAAGATTAGAATAGTAAATACAGACAGTGTTCTAGATACGTATGGCACAGTTACAGCCCGAAGCCATGCGATATACAACGCATATGACACACAAAAATACATAAAATACCGAAAGTAGGGTATTTGTATTTTTCAACGGATCTGTTTTTTTAACTTCTACTACTTTAATTACGTCAATACAAATTTTGCATAAAAATCATAGACTTCTATATGTATTAGGTTGTCCGAAATGTTTCTTTCGTTTTATAAGGAAATAATAGACGCACAATGTTTCTTGTTTTATATTAGTTTATTGAATTATGCACGAACGTAATAATAGAAATAGAACGAAATGGATCGTACCTAATTCAATAAAATAATATAAAGCAGAAATTGTTGTTCATCTATTATCACCTTATGGAAGGAAAGAAACTTTTCGGACAACCTAACGTATTACTAGATTGCTAACTCTTTGTGCACAAGGTGTCCACGATTTTACGTACTACGAATAGATATAACACATATAAGATGTGCGTACTGTTTCTGTGCATGCACTTCAACGGTGAAATGATTATGATCGTAGCATACAAAATATTTTAATATTTGTATTAGAAACGCAAAGCATACGATTTGCATGGAACAAAAAATGCGATCACTTGGAGAGTACAAAATTAAGTTTTTATTTCGATATTGCATGCAAACATACAAACGTGGTTAAGTCGATAGCTATATTTTATCGATATTGTTGATCGACGTGATATGCATATAACATAATAATTCTAGAATATTATAGTATTCGTACAATTAATACTATTGCATCGATAACTGTTTATTATTGTCATATGGACAATTTAACATCTAAATAATTGAAAACTAAATTATACATAGAGCAACTTAAAATATGGTATTGGCATTTCGTTTACGTCGATCTATCGTAGAGCAAGTTTTACGCAGTAAACACCAGGTGAAAGTAACATAACGTGTTCACGTTACAGTTTGTCGCTGCACAATTTAATCACCGAACTGACATGTGTCAGAATCGAAGAAAACAAGAGGCGTAAAATTTGCTATATGTCGACTGTATTTACCAATCTAGTGCTGGCGCGTGTGCAGAAAGAGTTGTACGTAAAATCCGGACATTTTACACAAAGAAAATTTAGACAGTCGTCGGTCTAGTAATATACAAAAGTCTGTGATAAAAATCCGCGATCTAATTAAAATAGACTAATGTAGTTTTATCATGGAGGTGTAAGATTGCAATCGTAACTATCAACAAGGAAGATTCAGATGTTAAAGAAACACGGTACAAATAGAATTGTCCCCTTGGATTCTCGTAGAGGGGAAACCACTCTCATAAATACGATAATCGCGGAAAAGAGCAGTCGACGGAGAGATCACGCGAGGAGTCACGGTAGGGAAATGCGGGAAAGGTCGCTGTGGAACGAGTTGATAAGTTAAGAACAAAAAGCCGTAGGTTGGCGCGCATGAATGACTTCGGTGGCGTGACCAGAAGAACGAACGAAGCTACGCGTTCCCCTGCCAGCGACATTTTTCTCTCTGTCGGCTTTCCTCTACGTAGGCTTGTGAGGATGCTCGGTGAATTTTCAACGTGCCATCGAAAATGAAATTCGCCGCCGTCGTCTCGGATATGAATTCCAGATTTCAATTTTCCGATCAGCCGTCTTCTCCTTGTCTCGCGTTCGATATCTCACGAAGATGATATCCCGGGAAAATTAAGCATCGCTCCAGCAGAATCTCTTTTCTTTCGAGGTCAACCTCTCGAATCCCGAATTACGTTTTAATTATATTTTATCACAGGTGCTATCTTAGATAATTGGAGATTGTTGTTCAAGGTAGGAATACTTTTCACGTTGGTTAGAAATTGGATATATATGCGGTGGTACTGACGAGTAATATTCCTAGAAAATGTGAAATTAAAGTGTTTAAAACGTAAAAACGTTACCGCGCGCATATAATTAAACTCTCTCTTTGTGCAATTAAATGCGACGTCTCTTAATGGCGTTAACGTTTTATACACGTCAAAAGACGCGGAAGAAGACTTTCCTTTTGGAGGAACTGTTTCGTAGCATTTCACTGTAAATGATACCGCGAGGTAACGTTAGGATGTACAAGATTATATATTCGAAAAAAACTTGATACTTGATACTTTACTGTACGTAATTTGCTTTTGCTACGTTTGAGAGTAATCGACAACAAACCAGAAAATTAGCATTTCCATTTGACGCAATCTAAGTTAACCAGAGAGCTTCGCTCGA